TGTATGTTAGGCCCATATTGGAGTATGCGGCACCAGTTTGGAACCCACACCTAGCCAAACATGTAAAGAAACTAGAGAAAGTGCAAAGGTTTGCCACTAGACTAGTCCCAGAGCTAAGAGGTATGTCCTATGAGGAGAGGTTAAGGGAAATCAACCTGACGATACTGGAGGACAGGAGAGATAGGGGGGACGTGATAACGACTTACAAAATACTGAGAGGAATTGACAAGGTGGACAAAAACAGGATGCTCCAGAGACTGGACACAGCAACAAGGGGACACAGTTGGAAGCTGAAGACACAGATGAATCACAGGGATGTTAGGAAGTATTTCTTCAGCCACAGAGTAGTCAGGAAGTGGAATAGTTTGGGAAGAGATGTAGTGGAGGCAGGATCCATACATAGCTTTAAGCAGAGGTACGATAAAGCTCATGGTTCAGGGAGAGTAACCTAGTGGCGACCAGTGAAGAGGCGGGGCCAGGAGCTTGGGCTCGACCCCTGCAACCTCAACTAGGTGAGTAGGTGAGTACACACGATCCATACACAGGTTTAAGAAGAGGTATGACAAAGCTCATGGAGTGGGAAGTGCGACTGAGTAGTGGCCAGTTGAAGAGGTGGGGCCAGGAGCTGTGACACGACCCCCACAACTAGGTGAGTACACACACACACACACACACGCACACACGCACACACGCACACACGCACACGCGCACACGCACACACGCACACGCACACACGCACACACGCACACACGCACACACGCACACACACACGCACACACACACGCACACACACACACGCACACACACACGCACACACACACGCACACACACCGCACACACACACGACACACACTACACGCACACACACACGCACACACACGCGCACACACGCACACGCAACACACACGCACACACACGCGCACGCAGCACGCAACGACACATGCATACACAACATAACAGGCCTAGTGTCTAATCGACATGTGCCTAGGACAAAATGGTAACTAAAACACACACACACACACACACACACACACACACACAACAATCTTCAACACATTTATCGAAACAGGGAGACTATCTGAGGTATGGAGGACCGCAAATGTAGTCCCAATTTTTAAGAATGGAGACAGATACGAAGCATTAAACTACAGACTAGTGTCACTAAAATGTATAGCATGCAAAGACCTGGAGAAGATTATCAGAAGAGTGGTGGAGCACCTAGAAAGGAACGAGCTTATCAACGACAGCCAGCACAGGTTCAGGGATAGGAAATCCTGTGTCACAAACCATTTGGAGTTCTATAACAGGGTGACAGCAGTACGACAAGAAAGAGAGAGAGAGAGGTGGGTAGATTGCATTTTCTTGAACTGTAGGAAGGCATTTGACACGGTTCCACACAAAAGATTAGTGCAAAAGCTGGAGGACCACGCAGAGATAAAAGGGAAGGCACTACAATGCATCAGGGAATACCTGCCAGGAAGACAACAGCGAGTCATGGTATGTGAAGTGTCAAAGTGGGCACCTGTAACGAGCGGGGTTCCACAGGGGTCAGTCATAGGACTGGTGCTGTTTCTGGTATTTGTGAACATGACAGAAGGAATAGACTCTGAAGTGTTTCTGTTTGCAGATGATGTGAAGTTGCCGAGAAGAATTCAATTGGACGAGGACCAGGCAGAACTACAAAGGGGTCTGGACAGGCTGCAGGCTGAGTCCAGCGACTGGCTCCTGGAGTTCAACCCCACCATGTGCAGTCATGAAGATTAGGGAAGGGCAAAGACTGCAGATGGAGTACAGTCTAGGGGGCCAGAGACTACAAACTTCACTCAAGGAAAATGATCTTGGGGCAAGCTTAACACCGGGCACATCTCCTGAGGCGCACATCAACCAAATAACTGCTGCAACATATGGGCGAGTAGCAAACCTAAAAATAGCATTCCGACATCTCAATAAGGAATTGTTCAGGACCCTGTACACTGTGTATGTTAGGCCATAATGGAGTATGTAGCACCAGTTTGGAACCCACACCTAGCCAAGCACATAAGGAAATTAGAGAAAGTGCAAAGGTTTGCAACAAGACTAGTCCCGGAGCTAAGGGGTATGGCCTACAAGGAGAGGTTCAGGGAAATTGACCTCACGATACTGGAAGACAGGAGAGACAGGTGGGAGAATTGACAAGGTGGACAGAGACAGGATGTTCCAGAGATGGGACACAGCAACAAGAGCTCACAGTTGGAGGTTGAAGACTTGGATGAATCACAGAGATGTTAGGAAGTATTTCTTCAGTCACAGAGTTGTCAGGAAGTGGAATAGTCTGGGAAGTGAAGTAGTGGAGGCAGGATCCATACATAGCTTTAAGAAGAGGTATGATAAAGTTCAGTGAGCAGGAAGTGATCCAGTAGTGACCAGTGAAGGGATGGGGGCCAGGAGCTGTGAATCGACCCCTGCAATTACTAGGCGAGTGCACACACACACACACACACACACACACACACACACACACACACACACACAGGCGGGGCCAGGAGCTGTGACTCGACCTCTGCAACCACTAGATGAGTACAACTAGGTGAGTACACACACACACATGCAGCACCAGTTTGGAACCCACACCTCGTCAAACACGTCAAGAAATTAGAGAAAGTGCAAAGGTTTGCAACAAGGCTGGTTCCAGAGCTAAGGGGAATGTCCTATGAAGAAAGGTTAAGGGAAATCGGCCTGACAACACTGGAGGACAGGAGGGTCAGGGGAGACATGATAACGACATACAAAATACTGCATGGAATAGACAACGTGGACAGAGACAGGATGTTCTAGAGATGGGACACAGTAACAAGGGGTCACAATTGGAAGCTGAAGACTCAGATGAGTCAAAGGGATGTTAGGAAGTATTTCTTCAGTCATAGAGTAGTTACGAAGTGGAATAGTCTGCCAAGTGATGTAGTGGAGGCAGGAACTATACATAGTTTTAAGACAAGGTATGATAAAGCTCATGGAGCAGGGGGAGAGAGGACCTAGTAGCGGTCGGTGAAAAGGCGGGGCCAGGAGCTGAATCTCGGCCCCTGCAACCACAATTAGGCGAGTACACACACACACACACACACACACACACACACACACACACACACACACACACACACACACACACACACACACACACACACGAGTATATTATGTAGCATTTAACATAGGATATCTGAATAAGGTCAATGTGATTCAGTTCCACTAGGGTCCTTGCAATGATCTATTGAGCAGTGTTTATGTGGCAGATCACTGACCTCCAAAAAGATCACCAGTGTGCAGTTGTGGTGGCAGGTAACATGTGGAAGGTCCTGACAGGTGTGAGGCAGTGAGAGGTGTGAGGCAGTGAGAGGTGTGAGGCAGTGAGAGGTGTGAGGCAGTGAGAGGTGTGAGGCAGTGAGAGGTGTGAGGCAGAGAGAGGTGTGAGGTAGTGACAGGTGTGAGGCAGTGACAGGTGAGGCACTGACTGTTGTGAGGCAGTGACAGGTGTGAGGCAGTGACAGGTGTGAGGCAGTGACAGGTGTGAGGCAGTGACAGGTGTGAGGCAGTGACAGGTGTGAGGCAGTGACAGGTGTGAGGCAGTGACAGGTGTGAGGCAGTGACAGGTGTGAGGCAGTGACAGGTGTGAGGCAGTGACAGGTGTGAGGCAGTGACTGGTGTGAGGCAGTGACTGGTGTGAGGCAGTGGCTGGTGTGAGGCAGTGGCTGGCGTGAGGCAGTGACAGGTGTGAGGCAGTGGCAGGTGTGAGGCAGTGACAGGTGTGAGGCAGTGACTGGTGTGAGGCAGTGACAGGTGTGAGGCAGTGACAGGTGTGAGGCAGTGGCTGGTGTGAGGCAGTGACTGGTGTGAGGCAGTGACTGGTGTGAGGCAGTGACTGGTGTGAGGCAGTGACTGGTGTGAGGCAGTGACAGGTGTGAGGCAGTGACTGGTGTGAGGCAGTGGCTGGTGTGAGGCAGTGGCTGGTGTGAGGCAGTGGCTGGTGTGAGGCAGTGACTGGTGTGAGGCAGTGACAGGTGTGAGGCAGTGACTGGTGTGAGGCAGTGACTGGTGTGAGGCAGTGACTGGTGTGAGGCAGTGGCTGGTGTGTGAGGCAGTGACTGGTGTGAGGCAGTGACAGGTGTGAGGCAGTGACAGGTGTGAGGCAGTGACTGGTGTGAGGCAGTGACAGGTGTGAGGCAGTGACTGGTGTGAGGCAGTGGCTGGTGTGAGGCAGTGACTGGTGTGAGGCAGTGACTGGTGTGTGGCAGTGACAGGTGTGAGGCAGTGACTGGTGTGAGGCAGACTGGTGTGAGGCAGTGGCTGGTGTGAGGCAGTGACTGGTGTGAGGCAGTGACTGGTGTGAGGCAGTGACTGGTGTGAGGCAGTGACAGGTGTGAGGCAGTGACAGGTGTGAGGCAGTGACTGGAGTGAGGCAGTGGCTGGTGTGAGGCAGTGGCTGGTGTGAGGCAGTGACTGGTGTGAGGCAGTGACAGGTGTGAGGCAGTGACAGGTGTGAGGCAGTGGCTGGTGTGAGGCAGTGACAGGTGTGAGGCAGTGACAGGTGTGAGGCAGTGACAGGTGTGAGGCAGTGACAGGTGTGAGGCAGTGACAGGTGTGAGGCAGACACAGGTGTGAGGCAGTGACTGGTGTGAGGCAGTGACAGGTGTGAGGCAGTGACAGGTGTGAGGTAGTGACAGGTGTGACACTGACTTGTGAGGCAGTGACTGTTGAGAGGCACTCACAGGTGCCAGGCACTCACAGGTGCCAGGCACTCACAGGTGGCAGGCACTCACAGGTGCCAGGCACTCACAGGTGCCAGGCACTCACAGGTGCCAGGCACTCACAGGTGCCAGGCACTCACAGGTGCCAGGCACTCACAGATGCCAGGCACTCACAGGTGCCAGGTAACACTTATGGTCAACAGGTCAACGACCAGACGATGACGTAAGATGAAAATCTCTCAACCCTGGGATGCAACGCTTCCAGTGTCACCCTTTACTCACGCTCATAACAGTTATTTTCTCCGCAGTAGTAGTCCTCAACGTAGCCATTAGTGGGTTGTAGGACGATACAGAGCGAGTAGAGTAGCAGGAAGCGCCACATCATAAGCACCAACCTCTCTCACTCTTCGCTGCCACACACACACTACCGTCAACATCAACGATTCATAATAATAATATAATTTAAACTTTAATAAAAATTTATGATAATTATCTCAGGTTTGTGATGGTGAATTAACATCTTAGATAAAAATTTTACATTTAGGTCAATAAACATGTTCAAAGAAAAAAATAATTTATAACTGAAACGCGTTTGTTTTATCTGTTTGTACTGGTGAAGAGTTCGCTATTTTAATAACCGCTTATTATGATTTTATTGTTAATGATAAAAACTATATTTAGGTGAATAAAATAAATACATAATCAAAGTAATCATAACTTGTTGCTCTTTACTACAATTTTATATTATTTTTAACTTTGGCTTAGGTTACAATTTTATTTATAATTACTACATGTATGCAATACAGTTTATTTAGAAAATTGTATATGATACTGCATAATATTTAAATTAGGTAAAAATGACGTTTGCGAACTTGAAGTGCATAGTAAAGCAGTAATATCTGTTACAAGTCATAATCAACGGAATCAAACACAGGTTGACTTCCATTAAGTAGTAACACGTGTGCGAGGTGATGGTGATGCTGCTCTCTCTTGATATTTAAGGTTTGTACACCCAGAGACTTTATCTGAATGTATCACGGTCAACATTTCGTGCGT